AATTTGCAGGCTGAATTTATCTAGGAGGGCCAAATCAGTGGGTTGATGTGTATCACATGCATGCATACGTCTCAGTGTTCATGAGACGCAGCTTCAGAGTGGTGCATGCACGCACGGTACAGCGTGGAAAGCATGTGAGGAACCGATTTGGTTTCCACACACACTGCAATGTAATGGATGTGCAAGTCCCAAGAGTCAGACAGAGAGAGGGGGAGGGAGAGGGAGAGAGGGGGAGATGGAGGAATTGACGTGGGAGGGGGAGAGAGGGGAGAGGGGGAGGAGGAGAGAGGGGAGAGGACGAGGAGGAGGGAGATCAAGTAGAGCGATTAGATAGATTACGTTTTGGTTATATATGCGTTACCTAGCAATTTTTACTCTGTTTATATATATGGTCAATTACTATGTTCAATATTAAATTGTGAATTCAGTGAAAAAATTGATAAAAATTGCCAGGTGTTTGTTTTCATTACCTGCTTATCGTTTTTAAATATTTGTCTACTGTGTACAAACGATATTACAAAGGACCATTTGTAAGCTTTGATGTGATAATGATAGGAATTGTCTTGCTTTAAATGATGTTTTTAGTTAAATTTTGTTTATTGCCCTATTGTCAGAAAAAGTAGATGCCACTTCATGTTGTTGGCCACATAATTACAATTTCACTTCATGTGACATGTTCAAAACCAATAAAACACACATAATCGCTGTGTAAAATAAAAAGTGCCAGTAAGTGATGTTAAAAACCGCATATATATACATACATATACATGTACGGTCAGCCTCGTCATGGCAGTTATTGAAGCTAAATAATTCGGTCATTGAGATATTACCAGACGTGTATTTGTTTATTCATGAAGCACGTGTAGTAGGGCAATTAATATAGGAAGTTTTATGATAGAACTTCAATATGAGATATGTCACAAATGAGTGCCAGAAAAAAACACGAAATTTCTTTCACGAGTTGGACTTGTAGTGGCTCTATATAGAACATTGCGGTTTGATAGAACATTGATATTCTTTAATAAAGATTTGACCAACTATCTTAGTTTTTGATACAATTATTACGCAGTAATTTCTTAAGAGCGACCTCAATATGAAGTGTTATTGACCAAGAAAATGTGTTTGCCAATAGTTGCAGCACAGGATGAGGGAAATATGCATTTCATACAGGTCAGTGATGCTCAAGTTGGTTTCCTGACACTGGAGGGCAATAACTATTTTATTATATATAGCTGCTAGCCTGCTGACCAAATTTTTATAACCAAAAATTGGCTTTCTGAAATCTATTATTAAATTCGAAGCATTTGCCATCTGAAAATTTGATTTCATAATAAACATTATTTCCATCAGGCAATATTTGCTACCATGCAAAATAAGTAAATGAAATGTTACACTTACAAAGACAAAATCGCTGAGCTCAGAGTCGGTTCAGCGACCACATATGCGTGAAGTTGGGTGCCATGCACCTCTACCTCAGTAGACTGGGTCTCCTACATGTAGCCCAGTAGCGTGCACGCGTACGTGATGGTATAGCGACGCTGATGCATGCAGCATTAGTGGTGTGTCCTGAATTCTCTGCTTCCCCGCGTTGCTGATGATCCCCGAACCCAAGCCAAGCGGGAAGACGTTGGTGTGAAAGGGGCGTGTGCTCCGCTTTATATTATTAGAGTCTTGATAATTATTGTTATTTTAGGTGCAAAGCAAGATGCCATATATATATATATATATAAGTGCATGCTCACTTATTTGGTTTCGTGTTTCACTGTGCGAAGTACGGCCTCTGTTGTCCTGCGTCTAAATAATTCACTGTGTTATTCATGGGAGAGAGAGAGAGAGAGAGAGAGAGAGAGAGAGAGAGAGAGAGAGAGAGAGAGAGAGAGAGAGAGAGAGAGAGAGAGAGAGAGAGAGAGAGAGAGGAGAGAAGAGAGAGAGAGAGAGAGAGAGAGAGAGAGAGAGAGAGAAGAGAGAGGAGAGAGAGAGGGGCGGGGACAGCAGACAGACAGACAGACAGACAGACAGACAGACAGACAGACAGACAGACAGACAGACAGTGAGAGAGAGAGAGAGCGAGAGAGCGAGAACGTTTCGTGTTTCTTGGGAAGAGAATAATATCATAATGTAAACTTTCTTCGATCCTCTGTCTTTATTAGTGTGATACAGAAATTGAGCACAATGCCTGCGGATGTTGTTTGATACAGTGAACATCGATGCGCATGCTTTAGCTCACGGAACTTTCAGTTGGCACGCATTCTTGATGGAGAGTTTATTAATTTGTTCTGTGGCTCGCAGCAATCTAGTACAGTAACAAATTACTAACAATGTTGGCCAGCCGATGTTGCATGGCGAGGTCCGAGATGGGTGCCTCTAACCGTGTCAGGCTGTTGTTCCGCAACATGTCATTGTGGCTCTCACACGCTTGTGGTGTGTGTACACAATACATGGGTAGAGAGAGCTACGAGGTGGGAAGGTTGAAACATCCAGTGGTAACGTCCCGCAAGGACGTTTGTGCTGCGATTTAGCAGCTCGGCAACTGGGCAAAATGTATGAGTTCGACTCGCAATATCTACTAATTGTATCCCCCTCGACGAAGTCGGCGGGGATACTATGGTTTCATGTCTCCCCAGCCGCCGCCGCCGCCGCTCGGTTCGCCGCAGAGAATTTCCCTTCGGCTCTATAACTCGACCCCTAATTGACCTAGCGTGACCAAACTTGGTATACTAACACATCTTGGGGAGAAGGTGTGCAGAGTACCAAAACCAGGTCACTGCGACCTTTATTTGACCTTTACCTTGACCTTGATCATATTTCCCTTCTGCTCTCTAGTGTAGGATAGCGCAGGCTCCCGCACAAAGAAAATATATCGCCTCACACTATTCCCCAAATGCAATCACTAGAAACAACACACCTCTACGCTCTAAGCGATAAATAATAATAGAACGCCGCAGGTAATCACTATACACACGCCCGTAGCGTCCGAGTACACTAATGACTCGAGGGCTGATCTGCCATGAATATTCCCCAGGTATCACTCTCGGCTCTTACCCTTTTCGTAGCAAGTCCAGTTTTCGCCTAGCTCTCACATCCGATTCCAACTCTACTTCTCCGATCTACCCGTCGCCAACCTACCTTCACCCTGCCGAGCACCTTCATTACCGCAACTCTAAGGTACGACATTACTTGTATTCGATTACGCGACTCGCGGCGCGAGTGTTACGATGCGGAGAGATCTGTATAGTATCACATGAGTGTGTTTGACGCACGAAGAGTAGTTTTCATAACACTGTGTTTCTGTTATCTATTGACGCAACAACCTGACACTACCCTTAAGGCGACTACCTCGCACATGCCAAACCGAGAACCTGGTAACAGGAAGTGAAAGACTTCATTAGACTAACTCGGCCCATAATTGACCTAGAGCTACCACAGCCTACCAAACTTGGTATACTTACACATCTTGGGGAGAATGTGTGTCGCGTACCAAAACAAGGTCACTGCGGCTTTTATTTGACATTGACCTTGACCTTGATCATATTTCCCTTCCACTCTATAACTCGGCCCCTAATTGACCTAGCGCGACCAAACTTGGTATACTTACACATCTTGGGGAGAAGGTGTGTTGCGTACCAAAACCAGGCCACTGCGATCTTTATTTGACCTTTACTTTGACCTTGATCATATTTCCCTTCCGCTCTCTAACTCGGCCCCTAATTGACCTAGCGCGACCAAACTTCGTATATTTACACATCTTAGGGAGAACACGGGGGATACATGTAGTTGGCGACAACTGCCCTTTCTAGTTGTAATTGTAATTGTGCAAATACTAATTGTATGCCTACTACCAGATATATATGATACAATGGACGAGCACACTGTTTATAATGTGGGAGGAAGGTAATTTCATTACATCTCGACAGATGAAGAAATATAGGTGAAACACTATTTCTAGGATCCCACGCTATTTCGGGAATAGAAATCAATCTTATTCTTAAAAAAAGTTAACCTAACACTGTTGCATTATATTGTCGATATATATGTGTATCAGCCTAATGCTGCAATACTTTAGAACAAATGTCTTATGGCGAGCGATCTCACGGAGCATGTGGGCCGGGTATATTTATTGGCATAGCTTTTTAATTTATTTGCGATACTACACGATAATAAATTGCTAGCGTTACTGGCAATAAGTAACAGCATCAGCAAGCCACAAAAAGGAATGTGGTTGTTTCTGTAAGGCTATATGGCAGTGGTCGGCAGGGGGTCGGCTGGCGCACCCCCAACTAAATCTAACAGTGTGTTTGCAGCGTGCCTGCTTACAGACAAATAGACACTTAGCTAAGGAGTGGGACATGTGGACGTGGGCAGGGCATGCGTCCAGGTGGGCATATCTGCATGCTTCTGGTTAGCTACAGTGCTATGAGAGTACGCTTAGTTGTGTGTTTTCATACCACAGAGTATTGACATGGGCAGTGACTTGGCTGGGATGTGACGTAAGGCTTGGGTGAGCCTAGCGTGCTGGGGATCATGCAACCATGTAACCATCTAAGACGTGTATAGTGTGGGCGGGTAATCTGGAAATTTAAAGGGCAACAGATAAACTGCCAATACTTTGGCTCCCGCTCACAGGCACTTGGAGCGTTTCAATAAAATATAAAGCTAAGTAAATAAGAAATCTATTTACTACTTTATGTGTGAGTGTGCATAGCGTGTAGCAGCGCAGCAGCGTATGTGCTGTTTGGCCTGTGTTTGCTGTCGTTGGAGCATTTGCAGCACGGCTTGTCGGCAATAATACTAGGTGAAGGAGAGTAGAGAAACATTAAACATTAGAAGACTTTGGTAGTAAATAGATGTCGTATTTATTTAGCATTATATTTTATTGAAACGCTCCAAGTGCCTGTGCTCCATTGGCAGCATTTCTGCGCGTGTCAACGTGCGATAAAGCCTGATCTCAACAATTGGGCTAGCATCCAAGATTCTTATGCTGTGTTTTCTTTTTTTTTCAGAAATAAATTACAAAAGTATATGTCAACAGCAACCCATAGGAATATTACTCTTTAGACAGTATTTAGAAACCATTGCAGCATGCAAAAAATATCTAGGATTTTTAGATGCAGTGGTAAGTATTTTTTTCTCTTGTTACAATAATTGTGACTTGTGTGCACCATGGTCCGTGTTTATTATTCCCTAGCCCATATTTATCGCTTGGATCCCCTATTTATTCACCGATGAACGACCACCGTTCAATAAAAAATTTGGGTACCACCGTACTAGCCATAAAATCGAGTAAGAGTATGTGCAGTAGATTTGCCACTAATAGTCGTCCAAGAAAGTCCATATAAATTGGAGAGATCGTATACTTGTTGCTAGTCACATGTTCTCTCCTACCATATGTTGCACGTGTTTGTGTGTTTTTGTTAACAATAGCCGCGTTCACACGTAGCAAGAAATCCGGTATTTAGTGTTCACACGAGCAAAATACGAGGCCCAAGAAATACGGTATCTATTCTAAACAGATCCGGTATTTCATGTAAATACGAGGCTTCCCAGACCCCGAATAATTTGCCGTGCTTGTTTTTCTTGGACCGCGCATTTCCTCGTGTGAACGCTAAATACCGGATTTCTGAAGCCGCGTATTTTATAGACTGGTCCGCGCTCGACAGTTCCAGTGTAATGCGAGTGGAACTGTCGAGCGCGGACAAGTCTACGTATTTTATCGGCAGTTGGTGCGCATTGCATTGTTTATTTTGCATTGTTTGCTTGATGCTCTCGCAGCTCGCAAATACCGTATTTCTGGAGCCGCGAATCAGTGTGTGAACGCTCGGCCGCGTATTTGTCTCAGATTCGGTATTTCGCAAATACCGTATTTCTGGAGCCGCGAATCAGTGTGTGAACGCTCGGCCGCGTATTTGTCTCAGATTCGGTATTTCGCAAATCCGGTATTTCAGAAATACGAGGTCTCGTGTGAACGAGGCTATAGATGCGTTTTCGTTTATGTACTTTTGGACGCAGGCGCGTATGGGGATTACCGCAGAGGTGTCCAACCTTTCTTTGTCCGCGTTGCAATTATGTTTGCATCTGTGTATGAGTATATGTGATAGATACATGTATAATAGTGATAGAGTAATCTAATTCTCTGTTTGGTTCAAGTACATACTACTTACTACAACTTGACTAATGTGTACGTGCTTGCATAAACAAGTTGGAGGATAGTTGCGTTGAAAACAATCGTTATCGGATTGCTGTAGTACTGCTTGTAATGAAAGCATGTGTATCACTTCGTAATTTGTTAAACACTGCAACTATCCTATATATATATATATATATATATACATATATACGTGTTGATATGTTACTTTAAAATTTGAACAGCACTGTTTATCCTTCAGATGTAAGCTTGCTCTAGCGTTTGTAACTGTGCATTAAAAGCAATATGAATTGATTTTTGCAAGGTGGATTATGAAGTCACACCAGATGAGAAGCGACTCCATGTGGCAAAAGAAATATACAACACATACCTCCTGCCAGATGTATGTATGAGCAATGCCGCACATTCTCGTAGCAAAACACATTCATACATTTACTCCCCTCTCCTCCTCTCCTCCTCTCCCTCTCCCTATCCATCTCTCTCTCACTCTCACTCTCTCTCTCTCTCTCTCTCTCTCTCTCTCTCTCTCTCTCTCTCTCTCACTCTCACTCTCACTCTCACTCTCACTCTCACTCTCACTCTCTCTCTCGTCCTCTCCCTCTCCCTCTCTCTATTTTCCTCTCTCTCTTTCTCCCTCTTTCCCTCACTCACTGTCTCTGTCTCACACTCTCTCTCTTTATCTCTCTCTCTCTATCTTTCTCTCTCTCTTTCTCAATCTCTCTTCCCTCTCTCCCTCTATTTATCTCCCTCCCACTTTGCCGTTGTGATTCTATAAATAGATATGCTGATACTGTAGCTTTATATATTTCAGAAAGATGACTGTATTATGGAAATCGGGGATGACTGCGATGCAGTTTCGGAACGCTGCAGGCAAGTTGTGGAGGCTGCGCAGACACCTAGCAAAGAGATCTTTGAAGAATGTTCACTGTAAGTGTCAGCAATGTGTTTCATTAGGATGTCATCAGTTCTCATTGTTTATTCATATGGTAGTGAGAATGTGCGTACAGTAGGGATTTCGGATTGGAACTAAGAATAAAGGTTGTTGAAATAATGGAGTTTAGCTGTGGAAAACGAAGCACCTACACAAACATATGCTCGTGATTTTTTCCCCATTTTTCACTTTTCATCATGGATTTTATCGTTTGTTTATTTGTATGTGCCCTGCTTGCTCGTGTGGCATTTGCAGAATGGCCAGCAGCCAGTAAGAAGCAGCTAAGACATGCCATCATATCACAGGCACAGAAGTAGAAGATATAAATCCAGTTTTAAAATGGAGACATGGTTCTATTATTTATGGGTGTGCATTGACAGATCATACATGAGTATGTTTTGATAAGTTGACATTAGATTTTCTTTGTATGGCTGACTAGTGCACAAAATGACACTTTCTTATTTTCAAACGCTTCAGGTTTTCACCATTTTTGCTGTTGACAGTGACTGTTTGCTGTATGTGAAATGTTGAAATTAGATTTATTGAGAAGAGTAATCCAGAAAAATTTACTGTTCTCTCGTAATTAACAAGTTTTTTTGCATACTAACAATTCGTAAATAGCAAAAATAACTCACTGGACGTGGCAATTAGCTAGGTGGAGCCGTAACCACATGGAGATTGTGCTCAAGTAAGCACGTACGTGTCGGGGAACTGTGCTCGGCTCTCCATGAGAAATTTTCTGTGGAAATTGATAGACCGTCTGTGCAGGTGAACTGCGGCTGGGTTTCCCTTTGAGCAGAAACGTAACAACGTCGCATACGATATGAAAAGGCTTTCAGAGAAGGTTTCGTAATGCCTTGATGAAATATCGTGGTGAATTCCTCATGGAATTGCAAATCAGTAACGTCTACACATCAGAAGTCAGTTATATTCCACAGAGTTATTCAGGCAGGATATGCCGAAACTGCTCAAACGTGTGCAGCGCATTGTACTGTGCATTGTATGGGTGGCTCTTATTTTGCTGTGAAGGTAGATCTATCATATATCTGATCCTCGTGCAGAGATGCCAACCACTACGATTTATCCGTATTTTATACGAATTTCGTTTGCATTTTGACCACTACGACCAGTTTGCATACAACTACGATTTTTATTACGATCGAAAAAAAATTATTTTGATGATATTTCAAGTGTTTTCTTTCAGTGTTACATTGATATAACATGATTGAAAATAACTACATGTATTTAGCAGCAAATATCAGTGTGAACTTATTGCCAGTTTGGGTCCCAGAATGCAGGAAATTGCATCTCGGAATCAAAAATTTTCCGAGGTGGGGGGCATGCCCCGAACCCCTTCTAGCATACTCGAGTCACTGCGTGACCCTCGGACTACAGATTTCGGACATCCTCACTACAGTTTGCTCAGAAAAGTGTTGGCACCTCTGCTCGTGTAGATGCTCGGTGACACCCATGCTATCACTCACTATCTTGTAGCATATCTGGAATGCTGCATGCTCTTATGGCCATGTCGTCTTGCCACTAGAGGGGTGTTGTTGTGATACACATGGGGTTGCTGAACTGACATACATAGGGATGATTCATTGATACCTTGAGGGATGCTGTGCGAAGTGGGCGGACGTATATAATGAACCTGACTTGATTCTTAAGGGGTTATACTCAGACCCACGTGTGATGCCCTGAGACACGCTGTAATGACGTAGGCTAGGATGCTGTATCAGTGTAGTACAGCTAGATATTTGGCTGCTTTTAAATACTTGGATGCTGTGCTCACACACGTGAATGCTGTATTAACACACGTGGATGCTGTATTAACACACGTGGATGCTGTATTAACACACGTGGATGCTGTACTAACACACGTGAATGCTGTATTAACACACGTGGATGCTGTATTATGTGGATGCTGTGTTAACACGTGGATGCTGTACTAACACACGTGGATGCTGTATTAACACACGTGGATGCTGTTACTAAACACACTGTGAAATTGCCTGTTATTAACACACGGTGGATGCTGTATTATGTGGGATGCTTTTGTATACACGTGAGATTGCGTGTACTTAACACCGTGGATGCTGGTATTAACACATGTTGGATACTGCTTATTAACACATGTGTGAATTTGATGTACTAACACGTGGATGCTGTGCTCACACACGAGATGCTGTGCCTCACACAGTGTGGATACTTGTATTAACACACGTGGATTTGTATTAACCACACGTGGATTGCTGTTGTACTAACACAGGTGGATGCTGTATTTAACATGTGGATGATGTACTAACACGTGGATGCTGTACTAACACACGTGGGTTCTGTACTAACACGTGGATGCTGTATTAACACACGTGGATGCTGTATTAACACATGTGGATACTGTATTAACACACGTGGATTGCTGTATTAAAACACATTGTGGGATACTGTATTAACCACATGTGGATAATGTACTTTAACACGTGGCGATGCTGTAGCTCACACACGGATGCTGGTGCTACACACGGTGGATACTGTATTAAAACACCCACGTGGATGCTGTATTAAACACACTGTGGATGTGACTAACACAGGTGATGCTGTATTAACATTGTGGTGATGTCACTAACACGTGGATGCTATGTACTAAACACACGTGGGGTCTGTACTACACGTGGATGCCTTGTACTTAACACACCGTGATGCTGTTTAACACATGTGGATACTGTATTAACACACGTGGATGCTGTATTAACACACACGTGGATGCTGTACTAACACAGGTGGATGCTGTATTAACATGTGGATGATGTACTAACACGTGGATGCTGTACTAACACACGTGGGTTCTGTATTGAACACACCGTGGGATGCTGTTACTAACAACAGTGTGGATGCTTATTAACATGTGGATGAATGTACTAACACTGTTGATGCTGTATTAACACCTGGATGCTGTATTAAACACTGTGGATACGATGTATTAACACATGTGGATGCTGTACTAACACACTATGGATGCTGTATAACACTGTGGATGCTGTCATTAAACACATGTGGATACTGTATTAACAATTGGTGGATGATGTACTAACAGTGGATGCTGTACTCACACACGAGATGCTGTGCTCACACAGCGTGGAATACTGTATTTAACACACCGTGGGATGCTGTATTAACACACGTGGATGCTGTACTAACACAGGTGTATGCTGTATTAACACACGTGGATGCTGTACTAACACAGGTGTATGCTGTACTAACAGTGTGGATGCGTGTACTAACAAGGGTGCTGTATTAATATGTGAGATAATGTTTTACTAACACGTGGATGCTGTATTAACACACGTGGATGCTGTATTAACACATGTGGATACTGTATTAACACACGTGGATGCTGTATTAACACATGTGGATACTGTATTAACACATGTGGATAATGTACTAACACGTGGATGCTGTGCTCACACACGGATGCTGTGCTCACACACGTGGATGATGTATTAACACACGTGGATGATGTATTAACACACGTGGATGATGTATTAACACACGTGGATGCTGTACTAACACGTGAATGCTGTACTCACACACGGATGCTGTGCTCACACAGGTGGATACTGTACTAACACACGTGGATGCTGTACTAACTTAAGTTGCATGAGTGATGATCTTGCTAATCTATATGGTTAGCACTGTTGCTAACCAAGTTATACACTGATGGTGCATTTTCACGAGTATAATTTCTCAACATTGTGTAAATGTATCTGAAGAAGGAATGTTTATAAAACATGACTCAATCAATCCAATTATACAGGGTGATCGGTCCCAGAGGTCCTTGCTTAGAACAAAACCTAGATATAAGCCGAGACTTTTCAGTGAGTTCATTGAATTCCAATCCTTTTTGTTCTGTGGTTACGTTAATTCTTTTCGACCAACAACCCCGACATGCTTCCCGATTACAATCGTTACAGTTTGTTCCAATCATTGCCAAGATGTTATTTTAGAGCTGGAAATGAGACCAAAATGATCGGGTAGAACTGTCTGGAAAATCACGTCAGATGACGATTGTTTGTCAGTTTGACGTTGATGTCAGTTTCCTTACATGGAGTAGACTAACTGAAGCTAATATATTTATAGAATACCATGTCTCATATTATAAGTTATTTATTTCGTCATAAAATTCATACCTTCACAAAAATGAAACGCCGCCAGTTTGTCAATCAACTTTGCTTACTGTTTGGCTTGCACAGTACAGCATGCGCATCTGCTCGTCGTACAATTGAAGCACGCTCTTTTATGGCGAGATACCAAGAAAAATTATTTTAGTGCAATTTTTATTGCAAGACATTTATTTTGCCGACCTTCATTGCATGACCTTTTTTCGTAATAATAAAATTTTCAGCGCATCAACGTCTTACAATATCGTTTGATACAGAAAAATACCTTCTTTGAAATTAAAGGGGTTGAATGACCTTTCATTGTGATTATAAACATTGAGTGAACATGAAGCTTTGATGTAAAATTTTCAAGTAATCACGTGAGGGCTCATATCCATCGCCCTAGAAGCCAGTGACATGTTAGCAACCTACAATTAAGTCATTGTCACGCGCCCATTTTGCTCATTACATACAGTAGCTGCACCGTATACCTATTTCTGTTAATATGACAACAATGCCTCGATAGATCAGCGATCCACGTGTGATTAGTGTCGCATTCCAAGGCACATTCATTATTCCGATTGCTAGCTCGGTCACAAAAATGATCATCATATGAAGTGGGAATTAATACATGCAGTATAATTACGGTGGCATGCATTACGGATACATGGCATGCTCGTCTATGTCCCTCGTAGACACGATGTGCGGCACGCAGCATTGAAAGCAAGGAGGGGAGACGGAGGTGCTTTTTACCGTGCACGGCAGACTTTTCATGTCTGCATGATGTAAATAACCGGGAGCCAGTTTTCCATCAGCGTCGGCAGGTTGTAGTAAACAGA